CAGACAGAGAAAGACAGGGAAAGAAAATAATACATGATGTAACCCCCCTAAAATTGCCAGCCAAAAGTTTAGTTCGATCAGGAGGACTTATTCTCTGTTTCTCCAGTAGGGGGGGATATGTTTAGGAGTGCGGCAGTTTTGGTGGTGCTCTAAAAAAAAATAGAAAGGTAAAAGAAGAGCGCAGGAAGAAAAAAATTAGAAGACGGACTGGATGTGGAGCTGTAAGTAGCTGGTTTAATTTTAGTTTTTGATAAGTCGAGAGTAATTTGAAAAGAGGAAAAAAAGAAATTAGTTATTCGTTTTTTTAGGGTTCTGTCCAAGGATTTTAGTTTCCTTTGAGAGAAATTTTCGATTGGTTTTTTTGATTGCTGAAAACCTGTTCAACATCGGAGGGACGGTTGTTCGGAGGAGAACGATCGACGGAGAAGCACGGTCACACGCATCCTGCCAGGATCCGCACCGGAGCCGAGCGCCCTCCGTTGGATTTCAGATAAGAAGGGACACAGAACAGAGGGAGGACAACTTTGTGGACTGACTGGACTGAATGACTGACTGGACACAACAATCTTTTATCTATATATATATATATATTTCTTTGATAAGCTCACGAGCACGGTTATCTTTTGAGGGGTGGAAGTATTTGTTTTATATTATTTGTAATAACTATTTGGTTTTCTCTGGTACAGTTTTGTTTGTGGGGTCCGTATAATAACGTATATGTTTTATTCTTTCTTTTGGTAGTTATGGAAATCCAAACTGGAATGGGAAGGGATTTGGGAATGATTGTACAGAGAATGGACCAGGCTGAGCCTTAGAAAGAAGTTAGCTTATTGTTATATTATTAATTCAGTGAATGGTTGTAGTTCAAAATAAATAAGTTAAGTAAATTCGTTTTTTTGTGGTTTCGTTTTACCAATTATCCTCCTCCCTGAACCTAGAAAGAAGGGTTACATCAATCATTTTGTGGCGAGCCAGCCAGGAGGATTTTTGAGTAAAACAGCCTGGGATTAATCAGTAGGTATTAGATATAGTCCCTAGAAGTATTTTGAGGATAGGGTACAAAAAAAAAAAAAATGACAACGGTTAGGGAAGTTGAACGGACGGGAACTCACGAGTAGTTCTGCAGATAAGAATCTGGAAGGTGTCGCTATAGTTGGGCCGGACTCTAGCGGGTCCAGTGATGCTGACATTTCTGAGGTAGATCTGGATGGTAGTGAAGCACTAGTTTCGCATAAGCCTCGCGCGGGGAGACCCCAATCAGTTTCTGCCACCCACAAAGCTAGACATAAGGTTACGAGGATTAGGAGACGAGGTACCTCATTAACCTCAGCAGGATTTGATAGTGATATACTAAATCCACCTGATGTACAACGCATAGTCGTTGAGCATGTGATCAAAAATGATCCATCCTCCACCAAAGGTCTTAGTCCCAAGAGATTGCGTTCCTTCTCTGGTAGAGTACCTAAACAGCCTGGAGAAGTGGATTTCGAGACTTGGTGTCTCCATGTTGAACTTATGTTTCAAGATGGATTGTCCATTGACATGCAGCGACGGATGATACTAGAGAGCTTGCTTTCCCCTGCTGCAGATATTGTGAGACAGCTTGGTTCCAATGCATCTCCAGTAGATTATCTTAAGTTACTGCAGTCAGCTTATGGGCTTGTAGAGGATGGAGAAGAAACTTTTGCCAAATTCCTTAATACTCATCAGGATGCAGGTGAAAAGGCATCTGAATATCTGCAGAGACTCCAAACACTGCTTAGTACTAGGGCTGCCCCCAAATAGTCGACTAAACGTTAGTCGATATGAAGAGGGCTTGGTCGAATACATTTTCATTAGTCGGTTAGTCGCAAAAAAATTCACGTGAAATTAGGCAATCAGGGGCTGCACAGTCAGTGTATGACATCAAAGCAACGAGAGATCAACGCGATCTCGTGCCTCGCGGTATACCAAAGCGCACTTGTGGGAGAGGTGTCTGGCTGATGCTAATAATTATATCAGGAAAAAAGTCCAAAGTGTGGGTTTATTAATTTTGAAAATTAATATAATTTTTATATTGTTCAAAAGGAAAATTAACAATTTAATAAATGCACATGGCACATCGCACAACGCCAGAACTTAGAATAAAAAAGAAGACAAACAAATTAACAGCCTAAGTATTTGATTAAATTGTTTAGAACAACTATATTTAAGACAAAATGTGGAACAAATAATTTAAAGAACACTAATACAAATCAAAAATATCAGAGCTAAGCCGCAAACTGCCATTAAGACGACGGATGAGTCTTGACCTGAAACAACAAATTGCAAACATCAGACTAATTTTTCTAACAGAATAAAAAACAACTTGTGGAGTACGCATCTTCTCGTTCGTGTTGGTCAAAGAATGACAAGCTCTTAAAACGTGGGTCTAAGACAGCAGCTTGTATATAAATGCTGGTCGCGATATTTTCCGTCAGTTGCCATCTCGTGTCAATTTCTTTTGCTAGTTCTGTCTTCTAAACTAACTAAATTTTAGTTTATTTTATTCAAAACTGTTTTTTTTTGTTTGTTTGTTTGACATGTAACTGTTACAGTTTGTATTTTTGATAATAAATTATTAAAATGCACAGGCAGTCTGATTGCTGTTTTTATGTTTTATAATTAGCCTATAACATTCCGGCCACTGATTTTTGTGTCCGTAAGCGCTGTATACTTTAAACGCTTTACTATTCTGTTTTAAGCGCTTAATTTTCATTTTGAACGCGCTAATATCATGCTTTAGCATTTTCTGTCATATGGAAGTGTTAAACTTCAACTTGGAATGTACCTTTCCTTGTATATACGCAACTTATTATATTAATATCATAAATGAACGATTATTCGACTAATCGCTAAAATGCAGGAGTGTTAGTCGACTAGGAATATCTTTAGTCGGGGGCAGCCCTACTTAGTACTGCAGTCAGACGAGGTGGTGTGAATAAGGCAGACGCCGATAGGTGGTTATTTAAGCAGTTTACCTGTGGCTGCTGGGATCAAACACTGCTTTTGACAATCCAATAGAAAATTCAAACTGAACCCCTGCCAGATTTCTCCCAACTCCTCCTCCAGTTACGAACGGAGGAGGAAAGGCGGGCAGTAAAGATGGATAGAATGCAGCATCACCTAGGGAGCTCCCGGATGAAATCCTTCTTGCAACTTCAGACTGTACCGTAGATCACTCCTAGCAGTGATAGTAGCACTGATACATTGCAGAAGTATATATCTGAGGTTGAAGGGTTAAGGAAGCAGGTGGCGGGACTGCAGGTGTAACTCACAGAATAAAGAGCCCAAAGAAGAAATGAATGTGAATCTGAGGTGGCTGCAGGGCAGGGCTTACCCACTGCAGTAGTTGATGTAAAGACACACCAAGCTTTAACGCCTCAAAGGCCCAGACCTTGGTTTTGTTTTAAATGTGGAGAAGATGGCCATATAGCTAGACAATGTGGGAAGGCCTCAAACAAAGAATTGGTGAACAAAAAGTATCAACAATTAAGAAATAAACAAGAAGAATGGGGGGCAAGGCACAGCCAGTCTTTAAACTGGACGAGGTTTCAGTAGAGGGACGTACTGAGACCCGACCAAAGTATTGTCCCCAGTTAGTGCAGGACCCCAGATATTGGGAACCTAAAAGTAAGAGTCGGAACATTACTCAAATGTCAGATGAAGCTCTTTTAAATGCACTAGTGGGGTCAAAGCATACCACTGCATTAATTGTGGATGGAATCCAGTGTGAATGTCTTCTCGACACTGGGTCCCAGGTGACAACTGTGTCCGAGTCTTTTCATAAGCTTCATTTACCTTCACGGCCTATTCTGCCATTACGTAATTTATTAGATGTGGAAGGGGCAGGTGGTCAGGCAGTACCATATTTAGGGTATGTAGAGCTGAGTTTGTGCTTTCCAGAGGAAGTTACCGGGAAGCCAGAAGAGGTGTGTACTCTGGCTCTTNGCAGTAGTTGATGTAAAGACACACCAAGCTTTAACGCCTCAAAGGCCCAAACCTTGTTTTTGTTTTAAATGTGGAGAAGATGGCCATATAGCTAGACAATGTGGGAAGGCCCCAAACAAAGAATTAGTGAACAAAAAGTATCAACAATTAAGAAATAAACAAGAAGAATGGGGGGCAAGGCACAGCCAGTCTTTAAACTGGACGAGGTTTCAGTAGAGGGACGTACTGAGACCCGACCAAAGTATTGTCCCCAGTTAGTGCAGGACCCCAGATATTGGGAACCTAAAAGTAAGAGTCGGAACATTACTCAAATGTCAGATGAAGCTCTTTTAAATGCACTAGTGGGGTCAAAGCATACCACTGCATTAATTGTGGATGGAATCCAGTGTGAATGTCTTCTCGACACTGGGTCCCAGGTGACAACTGTGTCCGAGTCTTTTCATAAGCTTCATTTACCTTCACGGCCTATTCTGCCATTACGTAATTTATTAGATGTGGAAGGGGCAGGTGGTCAGGCAGTACCATATTTAGGGTATGTAGAGCTGAGTTTGTGCTTTCCAGAGGAAGTTACCGGGAAGCCAGAAGAGGTGTGTACTCTGGCTCTTATTGTGCCTGATTGTAAGGTTAATGTAGACATTCCACAAGTTGGTACAAATGTTTTAGATATACCGTACGAAGCTCATTTAAATCAGAGATGGATTAGTCTCAAGGATGAACATGTCCAGTGCACACCCTTGATTAAAGCCATGTACAGAAGGCATAAAGTTGAACAAGACTGTGGCAAGGTGGGGAAGGTAAAACTTTTATGTAAACAAAGTATTACTGTTCGAGCAGGGCAGAAGGTAGCTTTGAATGGGTACACCAAGAACCTGGATATCCCTCCAGGCACAGCTTTGGTAGTTGATCCCTTATACCAGAGTCGGCCCGGTGGACTGATTTTCTGTAGCTATCTTACAACCGGCCCAGCTCAGGCATCATTTAAAGTCCCTATCCTCGTGAAAAATGATAGCAACCGTGACATCAAAGTACCGGGGAATCACGATGTGGCAGAGCTTTACATTCCATTGTCAATATCATGCTTGACATCATCCGTGCGTAATTGCAGTTATACAAATCAACCACATAAGTCTACCTTGAACACTAGTACATGTAATAATCTGGACGCTTTGGCATTAGGTGCGACTCTGCAATTTGACTTTTCTGATTCACCCTTGTCAGAGGAGTGGAAGAACCGAATCACTCAGAGGTTAAACTCGATGTCTGATGTTTTTGCCACACATGACCTAGATTATGGACATACTGCAGCTATTAAGCATCGTATCCGACTTTCAGATCCTACTCCTTTTAAGCAGCGGCCAAGGCCCATCCATCCCTCTGATTTTGAGGCAGTCAGGTCACACCTGAAAGAACTTTGTGATGCCCATAATATTCGGGAATCTGAAAGCTCGTTTGCCTCACCTGTTGTGGTAGTTAAAAAGAAGAACGGTGCGGTTCGCCTATGTGTCGATTATCGAAAATTGAATAATCAGACTATGAAAGACGCATATGCCCTGCCTAATATTGAGGAAGCTTTTGCTGCGTTGACAGGCTCTTGGTGGTTTTCAATTATGGACTTGAAATCTGGCTTCTACCAGGTGGAGGTTGAGGAGGAGAACAAGCATAGGACAGTGTTTGTCACCCCAATGGGCTTCTGGGAATTTAACCGGATGCCCCAGGGGGTCACGAATGCACCCAGTACGTTCCAACAAGCAATGGAAAAATATATGGGGAATTTAAATCTTAAGGAAGTTCTAGTTTTTTTGGATGACCTAATTGTTTTTTTTAAGTACTCTTGAGGAGCATATGAGGAGTGTCTGAGGCGGGTCCTAAGTAGATTGAAAGAACTCAGCCTAAAACTGTCACCTGAAAAATGTAGTTTCTTCAAAACATCAGTAAAATACCTTGGCCATGTCGTGTCAGAGAAAGGAATTGAAACTGACCCAGAGAAAATATCTGCTTTGACAAATTGGCCTAAGCCCCAAAATAAAAAAGAATTAAAATAATTTTCTCGTATTTGCGGGATATTATACACTGCTCAAAAAAATTAAAGGAACGCTTATTAATCAGAGTATAGCATCAAGTAAACTAAAATTCTTGGATATTCATCTGGTCAGTTAACTAGCAGAGGGGGGTGTTAATCAGTTTCAGCCACTTTGGTGTTAATGAAATTAACATCAGGTGAACTAGAGGGGCAGCAATGAGACGACCCCCACTATCACTAGTTATGCATTTAGCTACGGTCAGTGTCACTACTGGTAGCATGAGGCGATACCTGGACCTTATTGAGGTTGCACAGGTAGTTGCTCCAGGACAGTGCATCAATACGTGCCATTGCCAGAAGGTTTGCTGAGTCTCCCAGCACAGTCTCAAGGGCATGGAGGAGATTCCAGGAGACAGGCAGTTACTCTAGGAGAGCTAGACAGGGCTGTAGAAGGTCCTTAACCCATCAGCAGGACCGGTATCTGCTCCTTTGGGCAAGGAGGAACAGGATGAGCACTGCCAGAGCCCTACAAAATGACCTCCAGCAGGCCACTGGTGTGAATGTCTCTGACCAAACAATCAGAAACAGACTTCATGAGGGTGGCCAGAGGGCCTGACGTCCTCTAGTGGGCCCTGAGCTCACTGCCTGGCACCGTGGAGCTCGATTGGCATTTGCCATAGAATTCCTGGATTGGCAGGTCTGCCACTGGTGCCCTGTGCTTTTCACAGGTGAGAGCAGGTTCACCCTGAGCACATGTGACAGACATGAAAGGGTCTGGAGTAGCTGTGGAGAACATTATGCTGCCTGTAACATTGTTCAGCATGACCGGTTTGGTGGGGGGTCACTGATGGTCTGGGGAGGCATATCCATGGAGGGACACACAGACCTCTACAGGCTAGACAACGACACCTTCACTACCATTAGGTATCAGGATGAAATCCTTGGACCTATTGTCAGACCCTATGCTGGTGCAGTGGGTCCTGGGTTCCTCCTGGTGCGCAACAATGTCTGGCCTCATGTGGTGAGAGTATGTAGGCAGTTCCTGGGTGATGAAGGAATTGATACCATTGACTGGCCCCCACGCTCGCCTCACCTAAATCCAACAGAACACCTCTGGGACATTATGTTTCGATCCACCTGACGGCGCCAGGTTGCACCTCAGACTGTCCAGGAGCTCAGTGATGCCCTGGTCCAGATCTTGGAGGAGATCCCCCAGGACACCATCCGGCGTCTCATTAGGAGGATGCCCCGACATTGTCAGGCATGCATACAAGCACATGGGGGCCATACAAACTACTGAGTATGATTTTGAGTTGCTGCAATGAAATTTAGGCAAAATGGACTTGCCTGCCACATCATTTTTTCACTTAGATTTTCGGGGTCTCTTTGAATTCAGCCCTTTGTAGGTTGATAATTTTCATTTCCATCAAACAATGTGGCATCCTTTCATTCCTAACACATTACCTAGTCCATATCAGTATAGATATCCAGCATGATTTTTTCCCATTGAGATCTGATGTGTTTTCAAAGTGTTCCTTTAATTTTTTTTTGGGTTCATCCGAGATTTTGCAAAGATTGCTAGGCCTTTAAATGATCTGACATCTGGCTATGTGCCCCAGAAAAAGTCTTGCAAAAGAAATCCCAAGATTTTTCCCGCTGTTGACCTGAAGAGGCCATTTGGTGAGAGGTGGAAGGTTGAGTGTGATAGTGCTTTTAGCACACTCATCCAGAAGCTCACAACTGCTTCTGTTCTGGGGTTTGCTGATGCTAAAAAACCCGACATTTTACACATTGACGCCAGCCTACATGGCCTAGGCGCTGCTCTATATCAAGAGCAAGATGGTCAGTTGAGGGTGATTGCCTTTGCCAGCAGAGGGCTCTCTCACTGTGAGAAACATTACCCCACGCACAAGTTAGAGTTTCTTGCACTCAAGTGGGCTGTAACGGACACATTTTTTGACTATTTGTACGGAGCTAAATTTACAGTTGTTACTGACAACAACCCCCTGACATGTATCTTGACCACTGCGAGATTAGATGCAGCTGGAAATAGATGGCTTGCTGCATTGTCAACTTTTGATTTCCAGCTACAGTACAGGGCTGGAAAAAAGAACCAGGATGCAGACGGCCTCTCGAGGCGGCCACATCCTGAAATTTCAGTAAATTATACACCTGAGGATGAAGATAAGTGCATGCAAGAATTTATATCACACTTTGTTCATGAAAAATTAGAACCTGGAGTCTCTTCAGATGTTGTAAAGGCCATCTGCCATAAACATGTCATTCAAGGGGGCTCCAGCACTCAAGGGATACCTGCCGGCTCAACTATGGTCGAGTGTCTTGCTATGGATGCAGATGCTGTTCCAACTGAGTATGCCTATATGGGGATCCTGCCGGGAATGCCACCACTACCAAACATGTCACAGCATGATTGGGTTTTTGAACAACAATGTGACCCAGCCATAAGTTGAATTATTGACATAGTGGAGGTTGGAAAACGGCTATCTTTTAGGTTATGGCAGCGGGAGGACAGAGAAGTGTAACTAATGCTCTGCCTCCAAGGTCAGTTTGTTTTGTGGAACAGAATCCTCTATAGGAATTGTTAATGGAGAAGTCACTTATCAGCTTGTTCCACCAAAAAGCTATTGGGAATTGGCTCTATGGGAACTCCATGATAGTGTTGGACATATGGGTATTGATCTCACTCTGGAGTTGGTGCATAACAGATTTTATTGGCCACATATGATGACAGATGTGTGCAATAAAGTCCAAACGTGTGAGTGATGTATTTGTTAAGAAGCTAGGGCTGAACGTAGCGCACCGCTTGTGAGCGTCTCCACTAGTAGGCCACTAGAACTTTTGTATGGACTATTTGTCTTTAGAGCCAGATAGGAAAGGGTCAAAGAACATACTCGTCATCACGGATCATTTTACAAAGTACGCCATAGCTGTCACAACAC